TCTGTCTCTATCTCTCTCTGTCTCTCTATCGTCTCTTCTCTGTCTCTCTCTCTCTTCTCTGTCTCTCTCTGTCTCTCTCTCTCTGTCTCTCTTCTCTCTGTCTCTCTCTCTCTCTCTGTCTCTCTCTCTCTCTGTCTCTCTCTCTGTCTTCTCTCTGTGTGTCTCTCTCTCTGTCTCTCTCTCTCTGTCTCTCTCTCTCTGTCTCTTCTGTCTCTCTCTCTCTCTCTCTCTCTCTCTCTGAGCGGGCCATGACAGAAAGTTCGGAGGGGTCAGCTGACCCTCTGACCCCCTGGCTGCGCCACTGACTGTACCAGCACGATCAACTCCTTTGTAAGACACAATGAAAACAGCTAGCAAAAGAAAATAGCCCTACTATTACTGTTCGGTTTGAACGGGTTGCCGCCAAGACTTACTGTATCACGCACCGGTGCCATGGTCGGTGACGCGGGCGGGGCGGGGTGCGGCGGTCCGGTATAAAGTAACCGGCTCGTCTCGTATCGCCACCAGACGCTCCAGTCGCTCACAACCAGCTCCGCCATGAAGACATTCATTGTAGCAGCCCTGGTGGCCACCGCCGCCGCCAGCGGTATCAGCCCCATCCTGTCCGGCACCGGCGCCCTGGCCGTGCCCGCGCTGGCTGGCCGTGGCCTTGGCTACGGCAAGGCCGTCGGCTACGGCAAGGCCGTCGCCGTCGACTACGCCGAGCCGCGGCCGTACCAGTACCAGTACGCCATCGATGACCCCAACTACGGACCGATGGCCGCCAAACAGGAGGTGTCGGACGGTGCCGGTAACGTGCAGGGCTCGTACTCCGTCAACCTGCCCGACGGCCGCACCCAGATCGTCAAGTACGTCGCCGACGGATACAGCGGCTTCAACGCCGAGGTCAGCTACGAGGGCTACGCCCAGCACCCGCAGGTGGCTCGCGGCTACGGCATTGGAGGCATCGGTGTGGGCGCCGTGAAGAAGGTCGCCGCTGTGCGTCCTCTGATCGCCACAAAGCGCGTGAGCCTGCTGGGAGGCGGCATCAGCACCGGAGCCGGCCTGGGCCTGCTCGGCGGAAAGAGGATCGGCGCCATTGGTGCCGGAGCCGGCCTGGGCCTGGTGGGCAGGCCCATCGGCGTGGCCAAGACCGGGCTGGGCCTTGTGGGCCGTCCCATTGGACTCAACACACTGGCGTACGGCCACTAATGTTCAGACAGACGGGCCCACTCCAGGGTCGTTGTGTTACTCCTTATTCTTATTTATTGACTCAGTACGGCACAGCGTCTAAGACAGTGTGAAATATGATGTCTTGCGCAGCAATCTAAACCTCAGCATGCAACCTGAGTGAATGTTTTATGTGTGTGTTTGCCCGTTTTGAGTATGTTTGCGCGTTGCACGCTGCTTGTTCAATACATTTATGATATATAATTTTTGCCTTCTATTCGTGAGCTGTATATTATGGTGCATTTTTGCTAACGACCTATGTCTTCACGTGCCAGAGTTCGTAAAATGGTTCAATTCGCCGATGACACCCAAATCTGGACTACCGGTACAAAGCAGGATTTACCGGAGCTTGTGAACCGAATTGGAACTGCTTTACAATGCATGTTTGATTGGTTTTGCGATCATAGTATGAGAGTAAATGAGGCAAAAACAGGATTCTTGGTCAGTGGCGTAGCCAGAATTCAGGGAAAGGGGGGGCCATGGTGCTCGAGGGGGCGACTTTTCCCTTGAGAGGGGCGCCATTGTGAGCGAGTGACAGGGGGTCAGTCTAAAATGTAACGTCATATATTCATGCACAGTGGCGTATACAGGGGAGGGCCATGGGGGCCATGGCCCCCCCTTTCCGCCCAGCCGCCCAAATGGCGCCCCAATTAGCGCCGACTAGGCTGATGCCGTTTTACAGAGAGAACATGAATTAAAAAGTGATGTGCAGGCAGGGATCGAACTCAATATCTCTTTGGGGGTGCCTGGAAGTGGACACCTAAATGTTCTCCAGGGCACCCCCAAATACGACCTGAGCCCCCAAATGTTGAAGGACGCCCCTCCGGATACCAGAATATTCCGAACCCCCGGAATCGATGGCGCCCCTGAAGAGCCGCTGGCACCCACCTGAACGGAACAGTCGCCCCATTAAAGCTTGATGGCGCCCCTCTAGAGCACCCAGCGCCCCTCTAAAGTTCACAGCTGCCCCAATCGACCCATCCAAGATCGATGGCGCGCCCTGAAACCACTGGCGCCCCTCTAAAGCACCCGCATTCTTCTCAAGATCACAGTCGCCCTATCCGAGATCAATAGCGCCCTCAAGAGCCACTAGCGTCCCACCCCCCTTGAGACTGAAGTCGTCCCGCTTGAGACTTAAGTCGCCCCATTCAAGCCCAATTCAAGCCCATCCAGAGCGTCCGGCGCGCTTCTGAAGATCGCGCCCATCTAAACGAAGGTTACAGCTGCCCCACCTTAAGATCGTTGGCAACCCTCTGAAACCAATGGCGCCCTTCTAGACTACCCGGCACCCCTCTGAAAATCACATCCGCCCCATCCGAGACAACGCCCCTGGAGACTACAGTCGGCCCACCCAAGCTCAAGCCCCTCCAGGGCCTCCCTCCAGCGCCCTGCTGAAGGCAACAGTGGCCCCATCCACGCCCAATGGCGCTCCTCAACGCCGTTCTGAAGATCACAGTCGCCCCATCAATCCGAGGTCGCTGGCGCCCCTCAAGAGCCACTGGCGCCTACCTGAACCGCGAAACTGAATGGAGACTTCGGTCGCCCCGCCCCATTCAAGATTGATAGGCCCCCCCGAAACCACTGACGCATAGGCAATTATTGGACATGGGGCTTTCTCATCGACACCAAGGGCCCTTTTCAAGATGCAGCAGCCAGGCTTAGATCATTTGTAAGGTTAGGTCGAACTTGTCGAAGGTCAGGTCACCAGCGACAACCGAAAATCAAATTTCGCCGATGTTGACATTTTTCGACAAAGCGGCGCATGTCAGGATTCAGAAAGAGATTGAGCTACAGCGCCGCAGCAAAGCGCATATTCGATAGCTCTTTTTATGCTCTCTCTTATTGATTATCTCAGATTTGACATAAGGTAAACGTTTTAGCCTCAAAATATACTTTTCGCGGAGGACGTTTATCTGTAATACCTCTTGGCTCAGACCTGCACGAGATTAGTTTATCCAGCATCGTGTTCTATTTTTCGAGACAGACCAGTCAAATGAACTAGAATTTGACATTAAAAGGGCATTTGAGAATTTGACCTAAGGTAAAGGTCATCACCTAACCGGGAAAGGTCATACTGCATATTAGTCGATCCATATTTTCGAGAAGGAAAATAATTATATAGGGTGTTTCATTGGTCTATCATATCTCTATCAAAAGTTATTGCCCAAAATCTACTGGAGACCTTTCATGACCTGAGATGACCTCAGTAACATAAAAGTGGTCACATCACGAGTGACATTTACCGATTAAATGTGTCATATTTACCTGAATCCCGATGTTTGAGGTTGTTTTCGTTCAGAAGAAGAGCATTTCAATTGCCTCCCATTTATCTGCGCCGTGCTGGCAGGGGGGGGGGGGGTTCCGCCCCCTTAGGATTTTTCGCGAATATCTCAAAAACGGCGTCACGTAGCACCGCTGTTTTTGATACACCTGTTCATACATCTTTTCTACACAGCTTGTGAAAATTTCAGATCAGGGTCGTTCAAGGTCAGGTCACCAGGGCACGTCAAGTGGCCTTACCTAAAAAAAGTTTAAAGGCCCGCTATAGCTACAACGACCTGAACGATCACTTTTGAAACTTTCAGAGATTGATAAGACTAACAATATGTATAAAATGCTCATCTCGGACTTTTTATTTCTGTGACCTAAGGTCAGGTCAATTTTGGGACCTCAAGTCAGTGGGAGAAAAGTGAAATGTGCCTCTTTTGGACGAATGTCGTTTTAAAACCCTCCAAACATCGGTTCATAGGTAAACATGACACACTGAATCAGAAAAATGCACCTGTTAACCTTTTGTGTGCCCTTGAGGTCATCTCAGGTCATAAACGGTCACCAGCAGTTTTTTGGCTATAACTTTTGATAGAGACGTGCTAGAGCGGTGAAAACACGTCAGATGTGGTCAGCTCGACGATACGGATCGACTGATATGCAGCATGGCCCCATCCGGTCAGGTCATGACCTTGACGTGCGGTCAAATTTTCAAAATGACCTTTCAAGGTCAACGTATAGTTCATTCGACGCGTTTCGACGAGAGGAACACGTTCCGCGGCGCTGTAGCTCTATTGATTCCCGAGTTAGCCGTTGGCAGTTTCCAAAATTGTTGAAATGGACTAAATTTTACCTTTGATGACCTCTGGTGACCTGACCTTTGACCTGACCTAAGCATTGAAACTAAGTCTTTCCGTCATTATTTTTGACGCTCTTTCGATTTCCCCTTACTGGGTGTCGCTACGTGGCCCAGGAGCCGAGTTAGAGGGGGGACTTGAAAACGCCCCCCCCCCCAGCACGACACGGAAAGCACAGGCCACCAGCACGGCGCGGGTTAACTAATAGATAATAGAGAGATCGCAAAATTGACCTGGCCATCTCAATGTAGATATTTGGTCTGAGGATTACGCAAGGAAGGCGAATGTTCGGTGAGATCAGCAGGTTTCTATGGCGCTTTTAAAGTCGACCATGCACACTCACATCATCAAAAGTCGTCTTCTATACTACGCCGGCCGAAGACATTCTTAACCTTCGTGCCACTTTATGGGACAGTCTCACGCCTCACCCATCTGGCACTCATGCAGTCATGAGTGTCTGAGATTCTAAGCACGGCCACCTCGGTCGACCAGAGGCTGCAGTCCACAGGTCACTTTGGATCAGTGAGTGAACTTGTATGTTTTTTTTTTTTTTTGCAAAGAGTAAAGATTGTGCCTATCGATCAACGTATATTTTACCGTTTCGAATTCGCATGGATGTGTGTTTTGAGATAGCATGTCCGTAGCCTGAGCTCGTTTCCTATATCGTGCTAAATACGAGTATGCATAAAGATCAAGGCTTTTGATAAAAAAACACCGGGCTGCACATTGCAATAATAGGATTTTATGAAAAATCAGCGAAACCTGGTTCTTATACTCGTATTTTGCAACACCTAGTAACACCAACACCAAATGTCCCTCCAGAGCCTGGCAACAGCGCCCACAGGCGCTTTGTTAGGGTCAGGTCCCAAGACATTTTTCCCTAATGAGACAATGACTCGACCTCAAATCACTCGTTGTATCGTTATGATCGTGCCAGAGGCACATGGTATATGACTGAGTGCAATCAAAATATACTTAGCATGCTGCAAAAATACCTACCATTCCAATTTCACCCTCATTGGTGACGGTGTACCAACTTTGGTGACTTGGTGACCTGAGGTGAGTTATACTGAACTCTTTTTTTTCAAAAAACTGCAGCAAAAAATGCGTCAGAGTATACCTATAGCAAAATCAGGGCACTTAATTTTTAGGAGTTTCTATTTTTCATACAGGAGATGCCGTCACCGTTATTTTGACGCGATCGACAAAAAGGAGAGTTTCATGTAGTCCGCTCCCCTCCACCGTTTTCCATGACCGAGAGTGTGAAAATTAAATGTTATCGCCTGCCCGTCACATATCAGCCCGTTTTACGATGGAACATCGGACACCTATCATATCCGCGGTTGAACAGCTTTGTATTAGATGAAATTTTAATGCCTATAGTTTACTATAGTCTAACAAACCTAAGAAAACACGGATTTAAAGTGCAACTGCCAGTGATGCCAGTGCCTTAACCCGCGCATGACTGGGGGGGGGGGGGCTCTACAGAGCCCCTCCCGTTTTTCGGCAATATCTTCTAAACCGTTTGACGGATCAACACGAAAGAAACTTGCGGTACCTTCAGCGGCATCAATTTGACACCTTGTGTTAAACTTTCAGCTTTCTAGAACAACAGTTTGGCCGTAAATAACGTCAGCTTAACGTCATGTCGGCCCTTTTTGATGCATAATATTGAATTACGGCAAACGCTCTCAAGAGCTCAGTTTTAAAGCTAGATCCAAGTTCTTTGCATGAGTGGACTACAAATATAAGTAGCTATCAACTGCTATCTCGAAATTTCGAAATTTTTAACATTTTGAAACACGTGCATTTTGAACTACGGCAAATATATTTTTGATTTTTCAAAAACTTTTTGATTTTTCGCTAAAATCGGAATATATGTGATAGGACACACAATTATAAGCTACTCTAGCATGTTTTAGCCCAATATCTTCACAAATAGCCAAGTTATTTGCATTATTGTCAAAATTTTACAATTATATACTATTCGAAACCATTTTTTGTACGTTTTTGACCTTGTACAGCAATATAAATGAAAACATCGTGTTCCTTAGCTCACACTGCATTGAAAAATTTCATTTTGAAAATTTGACCTTTTCTAACCTGAAAGTGACCTGACCTCCGGTAAATTCAGCTGAAAATGACCTCAAATAACACAGACGACTGTAGATATATTGGACAGGTATGTAGTAAAGAGCAAGTAGCATACGAATATATTCAAGAAGCAATTACATATAAATAAGCGGACCGGTTTCGTCTATCCAAAAGTTCTTCAGCGCCTTTTCAAAAACGTATAACAAGAAAACTAGCACAATGACAATCGTTTCAAATAAAATCTGATTCAGTTAGAAAATAATAAGCATTGCTGAGCAGGGCACCTACTACCTAAAAACACTCACAATCTACCATCATATTTCGGTGGTTATGCTCGTACACCAAACATCAACGCTCGATACATCAGTAAATGCCTAAAAGTTAAACATATTTGACGGTGTATAGAAATATATTTCGGAATAAGCGGACGAAACCGGTCCGCTTATTTATATGTAATTGCTTCTTTAATATATTCGTATGCTACTTGCTCTTTACCAGACACAGACGACATTGTGTTTGAAATCTTCGAGTAAAACGGACTATAAAACATGCGTCACGTGACCGATACATGATATACAATTTTTCTGACCTAGGAGGACCTGGTCTTGACCTGAAAAATTCGAAGCAAAAGTTCGGTACCCTCAGGGTATCTAAGGCATATATCAAGGAGTGCGTAAACCAAAAACGAGCCTGATCAGACTTGCCAGCCGGCGGTCACAGCCTAAATTGTGAACAAGCAAAAAAGCTGATAATTTTTACATTGACCTGACCTGTGACGTCATCGGTGACCTCGAGGTCAATGAAAATAGGTTTCGCTCGACAGTTTTTCCAGAGCTATCAGATGCCGTTTGAACTTTGACGATCGGTCCAGTAGTTTTGGAGATAGGAGGGGGCTCTGGAGAGCCCCCCCCCCTCAGTCACTCCGTTATGGAAAATACACCAGTCATGCGCAGTTTAAAATTGCCTTAAAAATATCCGTTAATATTTTTCTCAAAGCTTCTCACAAAAATTTTATCCGAGCTTCAGTGATCAAAACACGTGCAAAGTGATTCATGAGATTTAACTCTGTTCTTTCTTAGGTTTGTCAGGCTATAACTAGTAATTCAATCTGTCGAATTCAAATAGTTAGGTATATCTTCGATTGCTTTGCCACTTTGTTTTCAAATTAAATCAAAAAGGTGTCGAAGCTCCGCCACGAGAAGGGGCTATAATTGCCTGCATCCCTGTCCCAGCTAAATTTTTGTAGCAGTACGATCAACTCCTTTGTAAGATACAATGATAACAGCTAGCAAAAGAAAATAGCCCTACTATTACTGTTCGGTTTGAACGGGTTGCCGCCAAGACTTACTGTATCACGCACCGGTGCCATGGTCGGTGACGCGGGCGGGGCGGGGTGCGGCGGTCCGGTATAAAGTAACCGGCTCGTCTCGTATCGCCACCAGACGCTCCAGTCGCTCACAACCAGCTCCGCCATGAAGACATTCATTGTAGCAGCCCTGGTGGCCACCGCCGCCGCCAGCGGTATCAGCCCCATCCTGTCCGGCACCGGCGCCCTGGCCGTGCCCGCGCTGGCTGGCCGTGGCCTTGGCTACGGCAAGGCCGTCGGCTACGGCAAGGCCGTCGCCGTCGACTACGCCGAGCCGCGGCCGTACCAGTACCAGTACGCCATCGATGACCCCAACTACGGACCGATGGCCGCCAAACAGGAGGTGTCGGACGGTGCCGGTAACGTGCAGGGCTCGTACTCCGTCAACCTGCCCGACGGCCGCACCCAGATCGTCAAGTACGTCGCCGACGGATACAGCGGCTTCAACGCCGAGGTCAGCTACGAGGGCTACGCCCAGCACCCGCAGGTGGCTCGCGGCTACGGCATTGGAGGCATCGGTGTGGGCGCCGTGAAGAAGGTCGCCGCTGTGCGTCCTCTGATCGCCACAAAGCGCGTGAGCCTGCTGGGAGGCGGCATCAGCACCGGAGCCGGCCTGGGCCTGCTCGGCGGAAAGAGGATCGGCGCCATTGGTGCCGGAGCCGGCCTGGGCCTGGTGGGCAGGCCCATCGGCGTGGCCAAGACCGGGCTGGGTCTTGTGGGCCGTCCCATTGGACTCAACACACTGGCGTACGGCCACTAATGTTCAGACAGACGGGCCCACTCCAGGGTCGCTGTGTTACTCCTTATTCTTATTTATTGACTCAGTACGGCACAGCGTCTAAGACGGTGTGAAATATGAGGTCAATCTAATCCTCAGTATGCGCCCTGCGTGAATGTTTTATGTGTGTGTTTGTCCGTTTGAGTATGTTTGCGCGTTTGCACGTTGTTTTTTCAATACATTTATGATATATGTTTTGCCTTATATTCGTATGGGTACAGGGCTTCGGGTTTTCCGGAAGTTAGTCGACAGGCACCAGCAATGTTTTGCGCCAATGTTCTTCTTCTTTTTTAGCAGCCTAGCATTTAACTTCGACATTAGCCGTTTCTACGACGGGCTATCTGGTGAATGCAGCTATCTGCGCCAAATCTCTTTTACAATAAATACCTATCTTCGTATCATGAATTTATTTCAGTATTATATCGAAAACAATGTCTGATAATTTGAAAAATGAGGTATTTAAGCAGCTGTCTAGCACAAACCGACAAATTCTAAAGAAACATCTAAACCTGATTTGACCAAATCTGCACCAAAGCTGCATAATAGCCGTTTTTACGACGGCCATCTGGTACATATTTGGTGCACATCTGGTACAGATTAGGTGCAGATTTGGTCAAATCAGGTTCAGTGTGTCTCTTAGCAGCTATTAGCTAGGGTTGCACTAATTGCTTATATGCCTGCTTTGTCATATTATCTGAGAGCATCATCGGTTAACCCTCGCCCGTATTGGTGTTTTTCCAGCCGCGAACGTATAAGGGGGGGGGGGGGTCCGTTGGACCCCTCTTGCCGTTTCACCCCTGATCGAGCTAGAGCTTCGCGGAAAAAAAACGAGCGTGCTGCCCGTGACGAGAGGAAGCCGATGATACCCAATTTTAAGGTCCTAGGTCATTGGTTGACCTTCCAGGTCAGGCCAATGACCCAAAAGTCGAGAAAATCGGGACCTGTTAGAACGTCGTAAAGCGTGGCTGCTATGGGGTTTTTCGGGGTGCTGATCACAAATATCATGTTAGTTTTGATCATAGATGATGTCTTAATGCGTTTAGGTCAGGTCGGGTCAGGTCAGGTCAGGTCAACCAGTAGGGGTTCTGTCAGGTATTCGTAGTAGGTGTCAACGGCCTCTGACAGCTTCGTAACATGTTACGAAGGCACCAAAACTACTTCGTAAATGTTCGTATGGTTGCTAAATTCGAATTCAGCTCCAAAAACTGGCCTAGAAACATGTAAAACTCGAAAAAGTGAACCGAGGTCATCAAAGGTCAATGACATGACCTGACCTTCAGGTGACCTTGACACCCACTCTAGTGCCTGGGGGCAACATCATATCACATGTTTAAACGCTTGAAACCACGGAAAGACTGCAAACGCACGGCTAATGCGAGCCGACATACGCCGAATCGCGATTCCGGCCAAGCATGGTCTCGAAAAGTAGGTCACAGGTCAAAGGTCATTTGGCTCAGGATCATGAAATTTTCAGGCGGGGTGTAAAATTGAATAACAGGAGGGTACTGAAAGTTTCGTCGCGATCGGCCGCTTTTTACGCGAGTTATTCGCAAAAAAACCAAGGGGGGGTCCGTTCGACCCCCCCCCCTATACGGGCGAGGGTTAAAGCACTGAAATAAATTTATAAAATGAAGATATTTGCTGTTAAAGAAATTAGGTGCAGATTTGGTCAAATCAGGTGCATTCGCCGGATAGCCCGTCGTGAAAACGGCTAATCTAAACCAAGTTTGTACCAGCTGCTCCTTGTGAAAACGCCTAGTTATTGTGCATGGACACTACATTCAATCAAATTCGCACAGTGTCTCTGTTGTCAAATGCATTAGGGGTCGATCCAACATGACCCCACAGACAAATTTACCCCTGGCCAGTGACCATGGATCAGGCGTGATAGTTTTAGGTCACAATTTCGGTAAAGCCAACACCTTACTGTGCTGTGCAGTATTAGGTATCTTGGTGTGACTGATGTGACAATCGTCCATTTAATGTTTGTATTGATGTAAGTAAGATATTTAGGGAATAATGCTCACCCAAACATGGATTTTAATATCGTCATTTATGCATTGAAAAGTCAGTGCAAACCGAAGCTTGCAAACGTAGTTTCTTGGTAGTATCGAGCGAAGCATGTTATACCTACACAATACTTATCTTGAAAATGGATAGCGGTGTTTATTTGAAACATCGAATAATGCATATAAATGTCACTTGTTCAGGACATTTATATGCAGGACATGGTCTTTCAGGTTCAGGAAAGACCGCGCCAGCCATGGTGGAGGTGTCGTCTGTGCCGTCCGATCCAGCCTGCGTCCAGTTCGACGCGCAGACCTGGAACCTGACTGCGAGCTGCTGGCTGTCCAGATAGGCGACAGAAAGAAGGTGATAGCGGCGACATGCTACCGTCCCCCAGAGGCCGACGGCGACATCGGCAAGATCATGGACTTCGTTGCGAGGGTTCGGGAAGCCGGGCGGCCGCTGATACTCGTGGGTGACTTCAACCTCCCCGAGATACAGTGGCCGCCGCGGCGGGAGCCGGTGCTACTCAGGAGAACGGCCCGAGCCATCCAGTTTGTAGATGGCGCTAGTGAGCACGGCCTGGACCAGACGGTATCGGCTCCAACTCGCGGTGACGCTGTTCTGGAACTGGCTCTAACCTGTGGAATGGGGGCGGTGTCTTCTGTGCGTGAGGGGACGTTCGACTCTGATCATCGAGAGGTGATCACCAGTGTGTCGGTGAACGCTCGCCTGTTCTCCAAGGTGTCTCGCTCTGTGGCGTTCAACTATAAAGCTGCAGATTTTGACGGCCTGCGCCGCGCACTGAACTGCCTGCCATGGAGCGACTTACGAGATTTGGACGTCGACTCTGCCACTGAGAAATTCTACGACCTTGTCAATGCGGCTATTGCAGACTACGTGCCCACAAAGGCCATAAAAGTGGGCGGGTGGCTACCCACGACGCTCCTGTTGTTACCAGGTGGCTACCTGAGCCTTTGTGTTATTGAAGCTATTGAAGCAAAACAGTTCGTAAAAACGGCTTCTTTACTTTTTGCCCTCTAGAGACTAAACCTTGACGTGGGGTCAACTATGAGGACACATTACGGATCGAGCGTTAAAAGGGTTATCGAATGCGATTTCCCGCAGCGCTGTAGCTCTACTGGTTCCCAAGTTATGCACCGGATTTTCGAAGAATGTTGAAGTAAGCTGTAAGTAAGTTGAAGTAAGATAAGCAAGTAATAGCCTTTGGCTCATTGTATAATTGACAAAAGAAATGGAAAAGAATATATGTGCGATATTTCGTGTTCGACACTTTTTCTTGCACTCATGAAAAAGTGTCGCACATATATTCTTTTCCATTTCTTTTGTCATTTTAAATATGGAATTGTTGTACTGGGACATGGTAAATATTCAGAAACGAATTATTCGACACCAGTAATATGTATATGATCGGTAGCTTTCGGGGGCTGCTGCCTCCTTCATCAGCCTGCTTTTTAAATGCATTAGAACACAAGACAATACGTTTCAAACATGTCTACCAAAAAGTAAACCGCCACGAGTAAAAGTTGTAACGGTACGTCTCAAGCATAGATGCACAACAGTTTGATACATGATAACAAATAATAACACATAATTAAGTCGCCATCGTCCGTAATATCCGTAATAAAACATTCGACATTAATCGTGATCCGTGGTCGTAACAATCGAGTTCGCACAATCGGGGTCATGACACATTAATCGATGGTAATCGTTATAGGATCGTAATCGTTACATACTCGTAGGCGCACAAGCTTGCATAAATTATAGGCGTGTATAGGCGTGTATAGGCGTGTAAAAAATATAGGCGTGTGGCTATCCGAGCGAATTTATGCAAGCTTGTGCGCCTACGAGTATGTAACGATTACGATCCTATAACGATTACCATCGATTAATGTGTCATGACCCCGATTGTGCGAACTCGATTGTTACGACCACGGATCACGATTAATGTCGAATGTTTTATTACGGATATTACGGACGATGGCGACTTAATTATGTGTTATTATTTGTTATCATGTATCAAACTGTTGTGCATCTATGCTTGAGACGTACCGTTACAACTTTTACTCGTGGCGGTTTACTTTTTGGTAGACATGTTTGAAACGTATTGTCTTGTGTTCTAATGCATTTAAAAAGCAGGCTGATGAAGGAGGCAGCAGCCCCCGAAAGCTACCGATCATATACATATTACTGGTGTCGAATAATTCGTTTCTGAACATTTCTTTTGTCAATTACACAATGAGCCAAAGGCTATTACTTGCTTATCTTTTAATCATAATGGGGCTCAACACAATTTTCAAGGAAACCCTCAATATCATTCAACAAGAAGTAAGCAACATTTTACCTTTGATGGCCTCTGGTGACCGGACCTTTGGCCTGACCTAAAGATGACCGAAATGTTTCGTCTTGCTTTTTGACGTTCTTTCGAATGCCACTCAACCCTCGCCGGTATTGGTGTCTTGCCAGCAGCAAAGGTAGCGGGGGGAGGGGGCCCGTTGGATCCCGCCTTGCCGTTTGGCCCCTGATCGAGCTAGAGCTTTGCGGTATAAACGAACGTGTTGCCCGTGACAAGAGGAAGCCGATGATACCTAATTTTTAAGGTCCAAGGTCATTGGTTGACATTCCGGGTCAGAACAATGACCCAAACGAAGGTAAAGTCGGGACCTGTTAGAACGTCGTTGAGTGAGAATATTACTTTTTTAGGGTTGCTGATCACGAATATCCTGTTAGTTTTGATGTTAGGCGGCACGGGCGGACATCGATAGCAGCGCCTCTATCGGTCACTAGGGAAAGCTGGGCTGTAGGCGACGAAATACCGGCTGAGTTGTCACACGTTGAATAGGTTTATAGACATCAGTCTTGTGAAGAAGTTGACTTTTTGCCTTCAATATTTCTACAGGCAATTTTAGAAGTGTCTTCACATAGATTACAAAACCGTTTAGATTATTGTATTAACTTCAAGCCTTCCCTATTGTTCTTGACGGATGCGGGAACTATTTCTAATTAGTGTTTCTAGCTAAGTAAAAGAACACATTGTGCAAACGATGAAAAAAGCATAAATGGAAGATATTAAATGCAATTTTCTCTAACAATTTATGGTAAATTCTCTACACATCAAGGAAAAGGCGCATGCTAACTGATAATTTAAAGTTCTTGGGGCCAGTTGTTTTCTTCTTTTCTTACGTCGCCCCAATGGCCGCGAATACACTTGTGATAACGCCTATCATGATGTCTTCATCCTCTTAGGCCAGGTCAGGTCAGGTCAGATCAACCAATAGCGGTCCTGCCAGGTATTCGCAGTACCATAGACTACTACATATCTGGACTGGACACGAAATTTCGCCGATTACCATAAGGGTACTGCAGGCGGTGGATGACGGATGTTAATTGCATTTATCACGTGCTGCAATAATGAGTATTTTACTTATAGAATCTCAAACATTCCAAATTTCAACATATTGTTTTCGTTGAGCTTTGTCGGAATTGTAGTTTATACATCTTAATACCAAGTTGGTTTAATGTGGATCATTGTAATATTATTTTTTTGGTGATTTCCCCTTTCTGTACAATCGTTCAACAACACAATGAATTCATAACTTGTGGTTGTATACAGTATGGAAGCTGTTCAACAATGCCAAGATATTGTGCAGTTGCTAACTGTCGTTCAGGACACAAGCCGACGATATGGGACAGGGAAAACAATAAGCTTACCCCACGATTAAGCGTTTTTCGATTCCCCGGAAATAAAGCAAGCAAGAGAAAATGGGCTGAAGCCATTGGACGGAACGTGGAAAACCTGAACGGGGTCAACTGTGGCATATGCGAAAAGCATTTCCGTCCTCATGATTTTCGTGTGGGTGCTAACAGACGCGGCAAGGATCGGAAACGGCGACTTCTGAAGAAAGATGCTGTGCCGTTTGTGGAACTCGCAACAGGCCGCTCAACACCTCGTCCGACGAAATTTGCAGACCCATCGGCACGACGACTCCGACAGGAACAAGAGGCCGAAAACCGGACACAGGCATTCTTTGCTGACGACCAGATACAGAACCTTGCTGATCTCTGTCAGAAACTAAAAAAGGAGCACCTGCCCGTGGGCTTCAGGTATGTTTATCAATGGAATTGATGTTTTGCATAGGCGTAGGAACGTCACGAAAAGTGGGGGGGGGGCAGACCCCGGTCAGGGACACTTCGATCTCAGTTTGTGGGAACCCCAACCCCCCTAAGAAAAATTTGAGGGCAGTTTTGAACTCCTCTCGTCTTGCTGAATCGTTTGCTGCCTTTATTTTTGTATTTTGAGCAACATTAAATAATGTAGCATGAAAACTTGGCCGCAAAGTGGGGGGCATGGCCCCCTGGCCCCCCTGTTCCTACGCCTATAGTGTTTTGTAATATGTATTTAATTTTTTAGGTATGATAAATGATAATGATATTATGCCCAACTATGTTGAATAGGTACTTAACGGGAGTGACGGATAGATTAATACGATTTAACCCACCAATTACATATTTGATATAGGTAACTGTTTCGTTGCAACGTCTTGAAAAACTGATACTACTGAAAAATAAGTACCTTCATATGCGGAATAAGGCTTCTGATCATACAACATAAAAGGTACCTAGGTACCTAACTGAAATATTCACAAATAGTAATTACCATTCTACAATAATTGATTATATAAAAACAAATATGTTGAAATACAATCGAATACGTAAAACAAAAGAAATATGATTTGCTATAAGTGCGCAAAAGATACAACATATTGTGGTGGGCGGTTGCAGTGTCGGCAAATAGATGCTTGAATATCGTCTAATGAATTTTCTTTTTCAGGGTGGCCGAAGTCAACGTTGAAGACGTGACAGTGATCAGCATAAGAAAGGAGGAAGTTACAGAACCGGCTGGCATGCCCGTTATAACCCACAACATCACCATATACGACGACCTTCGCTTCAAGCTGCACTGCCAAGGAACTGATGTTTCGGTCAAGACAGTCTCTGATATCTGCTGCGTGCCTGGAGCGTTTTCATCAGTGTCAGAAGTGCTGAACGTGATTGCACGTCTGAAGAGTGTCACTGTGACAGTTGCTGCTCGTCTGTCGGCAGCCGCGACGCTCCTCGACACAATCGCCGAGTCCAGCGATGGCGATGTCTGCCCAGTAGTCTCCTTCTGCGCTGAACAACTGCGACTAGTCGCGAAGCCGGCGAACAACAGACGGTGCTCTCAGGAGCTTCTGGGGAACGCAGTGATTTGGGAGAGAATGAGTCCCAAATTGTACAGCACACTTCAACAGTCGCCCTTGCTCTGCCTTCCGCACTCAAAAACGCTCCGTCGACTTACATCTGCACTGCAGGTTAGCGCCGGACTCGACAGCACGACAATGGCGTACCTCCGTATGCGAGTTGAAAAGTTGGCGCCACGAGAGCGGCTTATCAATATGGCTATGGATGAAGTCTACTGCGCCCAGACGATGGAGCTGGCCGGCGGGCGGCTGTTTGGCGAGCAAGATGGAGCTATCGCCAAGACTCTGTTCTGTGTCCATGTGAACTCTGTCGCAGGAACATACCAGGACATGATATGCATGCAGCCAGTCCCTCACGTCAAAACATCCGACATCAATGACATCTTCAACAAAACGCTGAAGGGGCTGACCGAGCTAGGACTCACTGTGGTGTCGGTAACAACTGACAACCACCGCACGAATCAAGCGTGGCACAGGTCACTCGGCACGGACGGTCACCACCCGGAATACGTGATAAATCCATACTCTGATGATGAGGAGAAGATTTTCACGCTGTACGATACAGTGCACGTATTTAAGAACCTCTATTATGGTATGATGAGGAACAAATCACTCCGTCTTCCGCCTCTCCCTGGTTCAGAAGACCAGCGCGACCTAGAAGTCAGCTTCGATCACTTGAAGAGGATCCATGAGATGGAGTATGGCAACCCGGCCAAGCTTGCGTACAAGCTTACGGACAGAGTCTTGAATCCATCAGTTCTGGAGCGTGTCAGTGTGAAGTTGGCAGCGGCAGCCACGGACCAAACAACGACTGCGGCCCTACGGTACTTCGCTGAACACCGGCCTGACTGTGCAGGTTTCGCCGACACTGCAGCTCTCCTTGAATTCATCAGACGGTGGTTTGATGCATGTAACGTTAAGTCGGCGTACGCAGCGCAACGACTGAACGACAAGAGCCGCATCGCACTGCGAGCTGCATGTGACGACAGCGAGAAGTCACTTGGCTTCATCGCGAGCTTTGGTGACTACATGCGTGCCGTTCTCGACAGCGGTGCTCCGATGACAAAGGACACTTGTATGGCGGTGTTTTATACCTCAAGGGGTCTTGTCGCCCTGGCACGGTACCTTCTGTCAACATATCCAGATCGGCTAGAGTACGTTCTCACGGGGAAAATTCAGTCGGATCAGATTGAAGGTCGTTTTGGGCACCTGAGGAAGCTCGCCGGTGGGAACTATTGGGCAAGCGTGCGCCAGTTCTGGGAAAATGAAGCCATCATCCGCACAACAGGGCTGGTTTGGTGGTCGGGCTTCACCGTGGCCGAAATCGCTTCAAGAATGGACATTCCAAGACAGGAGAAAGGGGAGGAAGACAGCGAGACGGTACGCCATCTGTCAACACTGATCACAGCAAGCGACATCGAAGACGACCTCGATGACACAACCGAGGCTGCGCTCGGCTACATAGCCGGCTACCTCGCGCGCGCAGTCACCAAAGACAACAAGTGCGATTCCTGCGCAGATCTGCTGATCGACAGACGCTCTCCACCACTGGAGGTTCGCTTGGCGGACAACCTGGATCAGACGTCGTTGCTCAGCAATACTTTCATCGGCCTGTTAGATCGAGGGAAGCTGATACGACCCACTTCCACTGCAATCGACATCGCTTCCAGAATCTGCTGTGTTTGGAGGACTCTCGTCAAAGAGCAGAGCAGCAGGCAGCGTCTGTTCGGCAGCAACCTGCCGCGAGCAGTCTTCGTGAATGTGGTGAGTGAAGTCATCACATCGGCCGAGAACGTGACTGTCTCAGACATCAGCTGTGAAGGAGGCCACTGTCTTGCAACTGTAGTATCGCGTATGGCAGGCTCCCTATTCAATTTGTTCGCCAGCAACATGGTCAGGGACGCCAACAGCCGTCTACACGGAAAATGGAAGCGTTCCACAGACCCCGGCGCCAGTACCAGTAAGGAGAGATGCTCTAGGGAAGACCAGAAGCGCCGCAAGTTAAGTGGGAGTAAGAAGACTTAGGACCAGCTCGGCTCCACTGCATCTGCAGGCGCTGACTGACAGCGTTATCTAGTGGCCGATATTTAAGTTACCTTTGTGCACCGGCACAGTATGCCTTCAGGCGCTGACTCACAGTGCCATCTAGTGGCCAGTATGTACGTTACATTTGTGCGCCGGCACAGTATGGCTCAGCGCGACCCGGGTCAAACGTATATACGCCCGCCGCCAGTTCTCCGTGTTTTGTCCTGTTAGTTTCTGGAGCTGGAAGAGTGACATCGCAGGAGCGTCACAGTTCCAATAGTGTATCATTGTGATCAATTTCTGTGATAATTGTGGCTTGCATTCATTGTATTACGATTCATTGTGATGTGCGAATTATCATAAACAAGCAACCACTATCTGCGAGTTTCCTTGGCCCTGTTCATGAACCCTGCGGCCGCTGCGGCCAGCCGCAGGCTCTAAGCTCCGCCCATTTTTGAAACGTCATCACCCACTCGACCGCAATCGCGTTCCATGAACACGTCTGCTGCCGAAATAGTTTCCGATAATTGCGCGCTTGAGACGATTACTAATCAATAGTTTCCACGCGCTTCTTTTATCTGTGTATTCCATTCCTGTGATGAAAAGGGCGTTTCTCAAGGCCGTCTGGTGTTAATTGTATTTTTGTAAGTGGGTCACATAAATGATTTGGCATTCTTTTCATTAAATCGTAGCACAAAAAACTGAAGTCTAAAATTAAATCTCATATTAAAGCATTAATCTAATTTTTAGGTATCATGGCATGCAACACCGGACGGAATGATTTTGTTTACAACATCGTCTCCATGGCAACACAGCCTACATTTTGACTCCGTGCGCCAAGTTCAGTGCTATTACTTTCTTGCGGCTCGGCGGTCGCTGGATTGCGGCCGCAGAGATCGCAGCGGCCGCAGCAAGGTGACGTCATACATTCGTCATACTGCATGAGCCCCGCCCCTTTTTGTGACGTAACAACCCGGCTGGCCGCAGCGACCGCAGCGGCCGCAGCGACCGCCGGGGTTCATGAACAGGGCCCTTGTCAACGAAGATGGCAGAAGCGACAAAATGATGACTAATAGCAGACCATCACGTAGCACGCGCAGCACTCTCTCCACTGACCTCTAAGCTGCCAAATGAGCATCAGTAAGCAGGGCGAAGTTCACGCGGTTATAACCATGGGATGGGATCAAATATGCGACCTGTTCATTATAATATATCCATTATGAAAGGCAATCAAATTTAACACATAAAACTCCATTGGTACCCTTATGGTAATCGGCGAAATTTCGTGTCCAGTCCAGATATGTAGTAGTCTATGGCAGTACCTAGGTGTCAACGGCCTCTGACAGCTGCGTAGCATGTTACGCACCAAAACTACCTCGTAAATGTTCAAATGGTTGCTAAATTCGAAATTAGCACCAAAAACTAGATTAGAAACAAGTAAAACTCGCGAAAAGTGAAACGAGGTCATCAAAAGTCAATGACCTGACCTGACCTCTGGGTCACCTTGACAGCTGACACCCACCATAAAGCATGGGACCAGCATCATATCACATGTTTGTACGCGTGAAAGTTGAAACCACGAAAGAACTGCAAGCGCGCGGCTAATGCGAGCCGACATACGCCGAATCGCAATGCCGGCCAAACATGATCTAGATAAACAGATCACAGGTCAAAGGTCATTTGGGTCAGGGTAATGAAATCTTAAGAGTAGGTGTAGAATTGATTAACCTGAGGGCACTGAAAGTTTCGTCGCAATCGGCCACTGTTTACGCCAATTATTTGCGAAAAACCGAGGGGATCCATTCGACCGCCCCCTCGCCCACGTCGTATCGTGGCCCAGGAGCCGAGTTTAGACGAGGGGTGTTCAGACGGACTACCCCCCCCCCCCCCTCCCCCGGCCCGGCTCGGTTGGCGCCGAGCACCGGGCCGGCTCGGCGCGGGCTAGAAACTAGAAAGTCCTTTTGTATGATTTCCGACAGCAGTGTTTTAGTCAGACATAAAATGTCAATCTGTTTTGATTCCTGGAAAGCGTTGATTTGTTCCAATTTCGCAGTCATCGACCATATTATGTTCAGATGGCAGATGATCATTTTGGGACGGACCAGAACCCCGGCCGTCCGCGTCTGCTCCGTTGACAGCCGTGTTGGACGGCGCAGAGTCCTGTTGTTAGCGGACGGTCGGAGTGGACGCTCTACACGGCGGGTAGGTCCACAGCGTCTGGAGCGGTCAGCTGGTCACCATTCGCTCTCCCTTGGCACGGCGGGTGGGCCGGCGCGCCGACCCACGCGCACCCGCGTCCCTGTCGCCTCGGAAGTGCCCGGAATGTTGACTTTAGCCGCCGGCGGCGTCCCCCTGACCGTTGGGCCTCCCTCCAGTGGCTCCGGTTGTCATGGTTACTGGTAGGGGAGACGACGGATTCTAGAAGCTACTTCGCGCGGTACCATGCGTAGGAAATAAATTAGTTTGAATAAAATTGTGCAGAACTTGCGGTAGAAATGTAGAAAAAACGCATAGGTATCCTATAATCACCTACTGCAAAAATAATTACGAGCGAGCGAGCGCAGCGAGCGAAGCGAAGTCTTTTCAATATAACGGAAAAATCTCAGTATGAGCGGCCCGGCCCGGCCCGGCCTGTAACGCTTTTGAGAGGCTTATATCTCAGCAACCGCTGGACCGATTGGCCTGCGGTCTTTTTTGCTGGGTAGCCCCATCCCTTCTACCCCGTAATTGACTACTTTTGATACATCTCAGTGACCGTCGTGGCACGTGCCACGTGAAAAGTCAAGGGTGTTCAAGCAGTTTTGCAAAAGTAGTGATTTTGAGAGGCTCATATCTCAGCAGCGGCTAGAGCGATTGTCTTGCGGTAATTTTTATAGGGTAGCTGCATCCCTTCTACCAAAGGTTGGATACTCTTGATCTATGTGAGTGACCCCCACTGCGCGTGCAAAATACAGCAATAAGAGGTGCCAAATTTGTTCCCATTTCAGTAACTCGGTAATTACTGGGGCGATTTCGCTGAAACTTGGCATACAGGTAGGCACCCACCAGGCGACGCATTCCCATGTGTTGCGGTTAGGGTGCTACTGCACGTGCGCACGTGCAGGGGGCGTTTCCAGATCTCGAGAACGGCTGGGCCGATTGCGCTCAAATTTGGTACACGGTTGGGGACCGGTTAGTAGGGTGCCGTGCAAAAGTCATTTTGGACCCCGTTTGCACGTGCGCACGTGCAGAATGCCGCTTCCAGATCTCAGGAACGGCTGGGCCGATTGCGTTCAAATTTGGCACACCGCTAGCGACCGGTTAGAAGGGTGCTTTGCACAAGCCCGTTGGAAGTACCCTCTCGCCCTTCCGCACGTGCAGGGCTCACTATCTCGCTCGCTCGTTCTTCGCCCAAAAGACGTTTTACTGGTTATTATGTTGCTAAAATTAAGTTCTTAGCATGGTATGGAAACTTCGGTTGGTATAATTAGGTACATAGGTAGGTCTAAGTTGAAGTGGCAGGCACCTCAATTGTATTCGACACATTATGTCTCCTCTCAATGAATTTACTTAAACACTCACCTGGTTTCCTGGACAACAATGAGCATGAGCCTCTCCTGAAGCAAATCCAGATCCAGCAACCCGCGTCACTAGCAGTCAAAATATTAGGATTTTTCTGTGCACCAATTGATGATGCCTCTTCGAATTCACGCCATAAAACTGCAGACCTTCCATGGTTTCGCAAGATCTGGAAGGCCGCACTTTTATTTTCGCTCGTTGCATAGTCATACTTCAACTTTGGCGTCCACTCCTTGCACTTATTTGCACATATCCAACGTCTCACTCTCAAATGTTCCACGGCACATATCAGCACATATACGCAACACCAAAGAGAAAGTCAGGGAAGACGCTAAAGGATTAGACGGTGACCGCCTGTAGTTTCAAACCCTTCCAAACAGCTGACGCCAGACTGGCCTCAGTCCGCCAATCAGACGCTGGCTACCTCGCTGTCGGCGGTTCCCATTGGCCGCTCCCCCTTGGCTCTCGGTGGCTACCAGGGTGGCTACCCCGTGGCCGGAAGGTTGGGGTAATGCATTTTCCCAGCTCTATTTCTCTGTTACTTGCTCGAAGATTGCCACAAAAAGAGCAACGAAACGAATGACAAATCCCTGCTTTAGTGTTGTTTTGGATGCAAAGTCGTTTATAAATGCAAAAATATAGACTCCAAATTTACCACAAACTGATCGTATGATGAACAGATTTTGGTTTCGCATATCTAAGTCCAAGTACTTGTACTTCCTTGCTACCTAGATGTGTAAATGTTCGTGGCAGGAAAGTTGCCGAGCGTGCTACCTGAGACCGGCGCTATCTCAGGTAGCACACGACATCACTTTTCACTAAATTTGTTGACTGTGCACCTTTCTTTTGAAGATATGAAAAAATGCTTGCTTTTTTACAGAGATAAGGAAATCAATGTTTGCTCTATATTCTAGCAAGATTTGTTGCTCTTTTCTGAAATGGCTTTGCCTTGAGTGGTTACCTGGCTTGTCAGTGAGAGACTTGAATTGGTTACCCACGGGTGTGGACGAGTTGGCGACTTTTATGACCTCTGCGTGCCCACTGTGCGCCTCGGTACTAAATATCCACCATGGTTTGATCGTGATGTGAGATGTGCATTGCGCGACAAAGAGGCAGCCTTCAAACGCAAGAAGTCCGACCCTTCGCCTGAGAACTTTCGTGCCTTTTCACTTGCCCGACAATGTGGAACAAATCGCTGGGGAAAATGGTATTTGTTCATGACTTACTTAATTACATGGTTTTTGCTGCATAACCTGATACGTTTGACAATTAAAAATGGCATCGTTGGAAAGAGCATTCAATTTTGTCCAAGATCCAATCATCGCTTTTGCAAGACGAGCAACAGTATTCTAAAAAATATAAATTTTTCAAACCTCTACATGGCAATTCATCTATGGCTCTCATTTTTCAATGACCTACGTCAACCTATGCTATAAAGTACACTTGGCAAGTTCTATAGTAGACGTATGGTTATCAGACACGAGCACCTCAATGCGATGGATGTTTTTTCTCAAACCAAAATGCTTAGCCGTCAAAAGACAACCGACCGAAATGTATACATGACCCACGGACACAAGACCAACCAAACGCCCACCGATCGAAAATATCCCTTATTCGCGTTGCGGAGCAAGCGGGTCACCCTAGCGGGCCCCATCCACCCAGAGGGCTCGGGCGCCGGGCGGGCCCTATCCATACGGGGGCTGGTCCCCGTTCACACGAGGGCCCGGGCTCCGTCCACCCGGGGCTCCGGGGCCCGTCCATCAGAGGGCCCGGGCCCCGTCCACCCGAGGGCCCGGGCGCAAGTTCCCAATAATGCTAC